CCACCGGACCCTCTGACCACCATCAGTAGGCAAGGTGGGTGAAGTGTCTTGCCCAAGGACACAACGACTGAGATGGCTGGACGGGGGATCGAACCAGTGACCTTCTGGTTCCAGGACGACTCCCCTAACCACTCCGCCACAGCCGCCCATTTACAATAACAAAAATACGTTTAACTCACTGAATTTTTTACGGATTTACAAATGGGTTGGTTTATTATAAACATTGTTAAGACAGTTATGATTTGAGGAGATTAGACCTGTTGAGATTGCAATTTTCCCCTTTTTTAAAAAGCTATTTAATCTAGTTTTGTATGCACCCGATTCGGATGTTATCATCCATAGAATGGATGGTAATTGGTGTTATCAGTCTCCTAGAATGGTTTTAGAATGTCCCGCCTGTGCCGCTTAGCAGGTTCCCCCATCCCATATTGTCATTTATATGTCAATCCACTAGGGGGCACTGTCAGGACAGTCTGAAGGCTAGAAGGCACAGTAGGGACATTCTGAAGCCATTGCATGGGACTGATAACGCCTAATAACGTCGATTTCACTGACTAATCACATCAGAATCCCCTGTTTACATGACAAATGGGGGATTGTATTTATCACAGATTGGTTGACACCTAAAAGTACACACAAACACAGGAGTCAAACAAATGAGCTCTGAGTTTAAGAATATCCAACTGAGCTAAAGAGTAAGGCTTTTCTTTGGGCATTATTATGTTATAAAACCATTGAACTGACCAAAGTCTCTGAAGCAATATGGCTAAACTTATGCATTTTTCCTTTCTAACTGCCAAAAGGTTTTATCCAACTAGTGTGCTTTTGACTGACCTTTTGATGAGTTCTTCAAGACCATTCGTCATCTTTCCCATCTCTCCAGAACTCTCCTGAGCTGATCTGCTGTTATCCTCCAGTTTCCTCCTGGCCTTCTCCAGATCACCACGCCGCAGACGCACCAGCTGGAACTCCAACTGAGCACAGGCAAAGGACCAGGAATTAGCCTGTGGTTGTGTGTGAGTGTGCAGGTGTGTTCGTTTGTCTGCTAAAACACCAAACTAATAAAAAATAATATTGGAAGTTTACTTCATTACCTGATTTGTTTTTGCAGTCAACTCAATTCAGGATGGCCCAACAAAGCAACTCTAACAAGCATGTCATCTACTATAACTTAGTTAATTTTACAGAAACTGAGATAAAATGTGGTGTGGTAGCAGCTGAGAGTTACAAAACTTGTACTTCAAGCATCAATGATTGCAGATCACACAGAATTTTGAGTACTGTCAAGATTTTAACTGCGACATCATACATTTTACTGTTTGCTGCCAAATTTTATACAATGGTATTTTTCATAAACTCTAAAATGTTAAAAGAGTAATCAAATGAATTACAACTAACTACAAAGTCCCTAAAAAATTCCACAGATTTTCAGCTCTGCCATAAAATAACCTGATGCTTTTTTACAGTGATCAGTTTAATAATGAAAGTTACAGTGTTAGACAGCAGCTTTGGGTTCATCCTCACAGAGTGACTGAGAGAAAAATCATTTCTGGTAAACTCCAAGCACTGTCCATCCATCCATCCATCCATCATCCATCCATCATCCATCATCCATCCATNCCTCTAGTAATATATTTACTGAGAAAAATGCTGACGTGTTCAATACTTATTTTACCCTCTGTATGTACAATAAAAAAGAAAACACTACAATGAAATAAATGGCAGCAGTGAGAAGAACAAATCTAATATCTGCCCTTTTTTCTCTTTTGTAAATGTGTCCAATGCCTCAAGTTAGATGCTTGTGCACTTTGAGGTCAGACACTCGTCAAAATCGTTTTAGTCGCGTATCAAGATGCACGTTAAGAGGAGCCTTCTTTACCGCTCTCTGTACAATGGCAGATGAAATTGCGAGAGTGGCATGGCTTTATTTACTGAGAGCCAGAGGACGTTGTCGTTGGGTGCCTTGGATTCACCAGATAATTCAGAGTTCTGAGTTTGGTGTTTCACCACTCCAGGAGCTGTGTGCTGATGAGTGTTGCATTCAGCGCATTTTTTTTGTCCTGAGCCCAGTTTGAGTTGCTGACCCCCATCGATGCCCATATCTTCTGCCAGGACATCAACTACAGGTGCTGGTTTTCAGCTGGAGAGCTCCTGTCCATCTGTCTCAGGTTAGTGAGCATCACTCAGGAGATTATCCTGTCAGAAAATGCACCACTATGTCACACATAGCGGAGTCTCTGATTGGCTGACTCTCCACATTTAGCTGCTAAGTTTCAGATTTTCAAAACCAAGCGTCTGCCACTTTGGATGAGCTATACGTGCATCGAATGCTTCAAATTGCACAGCAACACTTCTCAATATCCTTTAACTTGTGTCCACCATAGACTCCGCATGTAAACCTGATGCCCCAACACTCAAATCTCATTAAGTTTGAACGCAGCATTACATGTGCTCATTTAAGTTTTAAGTGGTGATCTCTGTTTTGGCATTGGGTACGGGTCCGCATGAGACACCATTTCGGTCCAGATCCAGACCCAGGTCCACCTATTAGTGACACGTGATGTATGCAATTGAATACACTACAAAGAAAAGATATTTAATGTTCAAATGGGTAAACTGATTTTTATTGGATTTTTTCTCAAATACACACTCAGTTTGAATTTGATGCCTGTAATACATTCCAAAAAGGCTGGGGCAGGGCAATGTTTACAACAACCAGTGGTGGGCACCAGTCCGCTAAAGCGCAAATCCACTGATTGCGGACCTAAATATTTCATTTGCACTTTAGCGGTCTTACTAATTTTTATAATTCATAAGCAGATTTGCGCTTTTTAAAATTAAAATGCGGTACCGCTAATAACATTTTATCTATCAGTCATGATTATGTTGTACAGCAGAAGGTATGGCTGTCAATGAATCACAACGCACATGATCTAACCAACAGCACCCCTCCCAGATAAACACAATTATTGGAAACGTAAACATCCGTGCTGACAGTTGCTCTTGGTCACAGTTCTCATTTCCCACAATGCTTTGTGTCTGCTTACATAACAGGAAGGCAATGTTTAGAACTCCCTTTTCCCAGCAAAAACAGTTGACGTTTGCAATCCATGCTAAAATTTTGTATGTATTGATTTATTGTACTTTACAATCGGAGCTCCTTTTTAAAGAAAAATATATTAATGTTTAAACGCTGGAGCTCAATACTTGACGTAATTGGTCGAAGCAATCCGCCAACGGGGTTAGAC